AAAAAGAAAACTATTTTGACAGCAAATTGTTTCAAATAGTACAGCATTAGTATGCTATGAGCTGTAGGTGGGCAATTTCACCATTTGACCTCGAGAAACCTGAACCTGTTGAAAGGTCTTGTTAATGTTTCCTACAAGGAGACAATAGTAGGGAACACGGGAGAAACATTTCTGGTGACCTAAAGCTGCAGTTTCATTGTGCGCATCAAAAAGATATAATCAGGAACTAAGTATCATCAATTTCCATTGCGTGTCGCGCCCGGCACAGACACACATGGCTGGAGGGTTTTTTTCATGACCACAGTCCCAGAAGAGCTCTGATCAGATTAGTGAAGGCACCTGTGTGAGTGTTGGTGAGGCGCGTAGCAGCATAATGTCGTCAGTGTGGTAGTTTTGTCCAAATGGGCCTTTCGACATGTAGCAGTAGGAAAAGCACAGGCATAAGTGATACGATTTGGAGTTGGATTTACCTGCTTCAGTTCCAGGGTCCTGCTGTTGTTCATGCTGGGTCATTACTTACTGTCACGCCGCTCTGGAACCGAGCGATCCTTAATGTCATCAGTAACACCTGTGTGCGTTTCCCGCTCTGGCAAGTCAAGATGTCTACTGGGGAGAAAGCCCGCAGACACTGGGGGGCCGGGGGGCTGGACAGGAAATGGTTTAAATTTGTTCCAACTGTAATTAGAATCTACTTCTCATTTCCAAAGCCTAGGCACCGCGAATAACCAGATTTGTTCAAAAGCCGGTCACGATTATAGTTAATGAGATATTGCCCGTGTATTTATAAAGGGAAGGGGGGGAAATTGCTGCGGAATGTGACACTGGCTAAAGGTTAATGGAAGATTAGCAGCCAGCTGCTGGTCAACGGACGTTGGTTTGTACTCGGCCTCAGTCACAAACGACAGGTTGTCATGGCGGAAGCGGTGACGAGTGGCACTGCGCAGGATTACATACCGACATGTGCGGGTCTCTGTGTAGTTTGGGGTCAGTGAATGTGCGTGTGTGTGTGTGGCTTGTGATCTACTCTCACACATCACAGATCACAGAGCGGGGGCCGCCGCCTGGTCGTCTTACCCGACAGGCCACCCTGACGGCACGCCGCGCTCCGGAAACACACACACGCATTCACCACCGGATGAAACGAAAGTTGGAAAGGGGGCAAAAGATGCCAACAGTTACCATAGAAACATGCCACAAAGCTAGAGGGGGGGGGGGGGAGAGAGAGAGAGAGAGAGAGGGGAAATGGAGGAGGAAGAGGGGAGTTAGAGAGGCAGACACAGAATGAAATCAGCTCTGTCAATACGTTGCCAAGCAACCCTCAGCACGAACGAAGCCGGGTTTGATAACTTGTTGATAACGCCAGCAGGAGAGCCAGAGTGTAAGTGTGCGTGTGTGTGTGTGTAATGGCAGTGTTATTAGCAGAGGCAGTGCATGAGCCCCTGCTGAGACAAGCCCAAAAGCGGAGATAAGGAGAGAGACCTTCTACTAAAGACAGGGTTACTAGTGGGCCTCAGGAACACACACACACACACAGTAGCAGAACAAAAGACCTCAGCGGTCTCTCACCAAATAATGAATGAGACAACTGGACCAAGAGAGTGGTGCTTAAACATTTTTGTTTGTTTTTTATTCAACCTTTTTTTCCAAACCAGGAATGTACTAGTTTTTCCTCTCTTTTGAGGTGTGTTTGGGAAGGGGGGGGTGGGGAGGGCAAGGAAGGAAAGGGTCGCCATGATGAGAGGGGTAAGGAGGAGAGAAGAAGAGGAGGAGGAGGAGGAGGAGAGGACACAAAAAAACCTTCTCAGACAGAGTTGTCCCAAATACAAAGTCTCAACACGTTACACACGATAGCCACCTCGCTCCGCGGCCTCCACTCGCTGTCTATTGGCACAAAGAAACGCACACTCACATGTGAACACACACACACGCACACTCGCTTTCACCGGCGGAGAGGTGAGGGAGATCGGCGGGAGCTGCTTCATTATTTTTTTTTCCTCTCTCTCCACGTTCTTCTTTCTCTTTTCAACGTGACAACCAGTGGTCGTGTCCGCGGTTTTTAGAAAAGCCAACACGTCGAGTCGACCAGTCAAACACAAACAGTGAGCGCCAGAGACACGACTTTGAAAAAACATCGACGTGGAAAGCAAACAAAAGCAGGAGAAAGAAAACACTAAAACTTGAGTCCAAGAGATACTCGACATTCTGCTCGAAAGGAGGGGGGGGGGGGCAGGGGGGCTTCGTCGTGGAAATTGACGTGGTAAAGTCCGAGGCGTTTCGTTCTCCTCCCCGCAGGCAGCGGCCATCTTTGAACAAAATACTGTCGTTTTGGATTGGAGAGTCGCAGAAGTTGTCGAAGAAGGAGAGGAACGGACACTTCATTTGGCTTGGAGGATATTTTAGGTACTCTGAGCATGTTTAAATAGACATAGACTTAACAGCATACATAAAACTAAATTAAAAAGAATAAAACACAAGTTGTCAGTTGTACAAAAAGAAGAATTTGGAGTTTTTCCCCTTCATTTCATCTTTAAAATCAATTTAGATACAGTCAAATACAATCCAAACTCATTTATGGTATAAAAACTTATCTGAACATCATCATTGTGTGTTGAACAAATCCATTTCAGACAAATGTGACACTTAAGTATGAAAGATCCTTATACAATGTTAGATACTGATACAAAACACAGTTGAGAAATGTCGTCAGGTCCAGATTTAACACTAGCTTCACACACAGAACATGTCTACGTCACTGGAGGCCTTATGTGTGTGTCTGAAGAAACAAAAAGCTTGAGCCTTTCCACTTTCATTGCCACCGATTTTACACAAAAGCCATAAACATGTCTGAGCAACACAAAACTGCTTTTAAAATGATTTTTTTTTTAAAGTATGCACATGTGAACATATTGCACCTCTGAACACAGCTTTGTGTTATTGCCCCTCAAGGTTGAGGTGCTGAGCACTGGCACCGCTGTGTGTGTCTGTGTGTGTGTGTGTGTGTGTGTGTGTGTGTGTGTGTGTGTGTGTGAGGGCGTGTGAAAAAGTGGGAGAACACAACGAACACAAGCGCTCTTTTCATCTGTCCCCGTGTCCGTCGGGTCAGTCTCGATCACAGAAATAGCGTCATATGAAAGCAATCAGCGTTCCTGTCGAGTGTGGCTGAGCGCCTGAGAGAAAGCAAGCGCCGGGGAGAGAGAGAGAGAGACAGAGAGAGACACAGAGAGAGAGAGAGAGAGAATGTATGTCGCTCAATGCAATCAGTAGGCATCTGGGACAGTCATTAAAAGGTGTGAAATCTGTGTTGGGTTGTGTGGGATGGTGTGCGTGTGTCAAAATGAGTGGGGTGACTGTTTGGGGGAGTAGGTGGGGGGTTCTCTCGTGTGTGTGTGTGTGTGTGTGTGTGTGTGTGGAGGGTGTGTGATGCATTGCAACACAAATGTTGGCGGAAATGAGGAGCAAATCCGAAATGCGCCGCCTCACGTTGACGTTAAGTGGGACACGGTAGATGTAGTGTGTGTGTGTGTGTGTGTGTGCGTGCGTCAGAGAGAGTGTGCGTCAGATGAGATCTGTCCTTTCCGTGGTTAAAGTTCAAACTCCTCCAAAATGTGTTTCAGCTGTTGGTCCGTCGGCTCGGAACCCCTCCGTTCAAAGAAAATGTTTCTCTCCTCAGCCAGCCACTCTGGTCATTTGCTCCCTCTGTCCTTCCTTCCAAGGGATCCTTCATCTCTCGCTCCCGCCGCTCCCGTCCTCCCCTCAGCTTCTTTTCCTTCAGAGTGCAATTCCTGCACAGTCTTTTCTTCCCTTGTCTCCCTCCCTTTCTTATTTTTTCTTTAAGTTCTGCATTCAGACGCCGCTTTATTCCTCCTCCCCAGACAGCACTCTCTCTTTCTCCCCCCCTGTTCTTTTTCCTTTATTCTTCCATTTCATCCCCCTCATGCCCCCCTCCCCTCCCCACCACCAACCCCCCATTTCCCACCTCTTTTCACTTCTGCGTTTGAAAAAAAGAAAGAAAAAAAGCATTTGAAGAAAAAAAAAGAAAAGAAACTTTCATAGATGGTTCTACCTCAACACTTCCACAAACGAGGTCTAAACTTCAAAACTACAGCATAGTACAAGGAGCTATAAAAATATACACAGAGTTCAGAGACCCTAGAGGGGAGTGGGAGGGAGGGGGAGAAAAAGGGGGGAGGAAGTGAATGGCAGGGGCAAGAGAGGAAGAGAGACACAACCTCTATTCGCCGGGAGAATTTAAAAAAAAAGGGATTAAATTAATATACAATGCAAAGGGAAAAGGAAGGAAATAAGGCTGCTATAAATTGTGAAAAACATAAACAACAGAGGAGAAATGTCTAGCAACGGAAGTGTATTTTAACAGAGCGGGTAAAAATAATAAAACAATAGAAAACTGAAAAGAACATCTAGAAATGATTCACTGGATATTCATATATATATAATCTATAAGTGTTGATAGTGTTGTAGAAATCTCACTTTTTTTGATATTCGCTCACTATTTTGTGTTTTGGTATTTAAGACACGTCTAAAGAACGCACACGTACGCAGTCACACACAAAGCGCACACACAAACTGAACCCCACGTGCGCATATGCAACCTCATATGCAAAACCTGCTGTACTGAAGCACACTAACTGCACACACACGTCTAATGTGGAGCAGCAGCGCCATAATTACTATCCAATGTGTATGCGCGCTCGCAGTCACACACACACACACGCATTATTAAAATATACAAGATTCTGAATGTCACCGATTGCCCGGACATCCTCAGACTCGGGCCCGGGTCATGTGACCACCGAAGAGCTTGCTGATTGGGTGAGTCCGAGGCCCCCTATTTCTCTCAGGAGAAAACTCACAAACAAACAAACTAGAACCCTATTGGTGAGTTCGTGGCGGAGGCCGGTCTCTGGTTGGCTGACGGAGCTCTGAGGGGTGGGGGCGGTGGGCTCAGGCAGGTATCTCCGGCGCTAAGTGGGATCCAGACGTTTTTCTTTTGTTAAAGTCCTTTTATCCCAATTTTTTTTTCTTCCTCTTTTGTAAAACATTGCAGGTCCCAGCGCCTGGTCCATCCTCCTAGACACAAAGTGTGCTTCCACACGCACAAACACACGCTGGCGTTACGGGGACCACTCTTGAATTCGGCACGGGTGGGTCCCGTTTTTCCTCCGAGTTAACGGGAGAGGGGGCTCTCAAGAGGCTCGTGCCCATTTGTGAGGGCCCTTGTTAAGGAAACTGCCCTTAACACACACCTTGTGGCCCGGTGTGTGAGAACGGGGCGGGCGGGTGTGTGGGTGGGGTTTATTCTGCTGGGAACACAACTGTGGCCGGGCAGCGAGTGGTGAAGTGTGTGGCAGGGGGTTAGGAGGGGGCGTGGGGGGGTGTTGCGGGGCAATACTGGTAGTATCGAGGGGTTTAGGATCAGAGCTGTGATGGCGAGCTCTTCATTTGGAGGGGGGGGTGGATTGGTCGGTACGGGTTAGAGGGAGGTGGGTGTGTCCAGTCGGCCGGAGCAGCGGCCGTCTCATACTTTGTAGTAGATGTTGGCGGGGCTCTGGGGGGGCATCTCCTGGACGATGTAGACGGGGTGTCCGTAGTCTCCGCTCACCTTCTCGTAGTGCGGGCAGTAGGCCGAGTCCGACGTCCGCAGGGGGATGATGATGTCGCTGGGCTCGGAGCCGTTGTTGTTGGAGCTGCCGAGGCCCCCGCCCCCTCCCCGCTTGGGGCTGGTGAGGGAGGACAGCGACAGCGGCGGGTGGTGGGTGTCCGAGTGCTTGGCGTGCCGCCGCCTGTAGCACACCACGCAGATCACGGCCGTCACCAGCAGGAGGAAGGCCGAGCCCCCCGCGGCGCCGGCGATGACGGCGATGTTGGAGGACTGCAGGGGCCCGTTCTCGCCGCCGGCGGTGGGTCCCTGGGAGGAGTTCCCCGCACCGCCTGAAATGAAATCACAGAACAATCTCACTCTGGCATCACAGGCTGTTTTATACGCGGCTATTAATCAATGCAAATACAGCAGAGCAATAACACAGCTTGCTTTTGCAATTTAAGTTTTGATGAGCTTTTAAACAAACACAGCGATCCTTATGGCTCCGTGAGTAATGGTGGTGGTTTAGCTCGCAAAATGAAGACTTCACCCAGAGGAGTGCAGCAAACATCACAGACGCTCACATGTGGCCTCCTTATTGGCGTAATGAAGTGGACAGAAGTGCTTATAAAACGGAGGGGGGATGTCCGCGTAGACTCCGGTGTGCGAGAGCACCGCGCCGCATATGTGCGCTTGTGGACAGCCTGGCTAGGCCGCAGTGTGTGTCAAGGTAACACACTCTATTTCCCTCGCCTTAACAACTGTATTTGCTTTGCATTACCGCCGGCCACATGAAGAGAGCCTCCGCGTCCTGCTCCTGCCGCCAGACCACACACTCCGCCGGCCTGCCGGCCGCCCTGCCCGTCTCTTTTTTTTTTTTTATCTGCCTGTCTGCCACACTCGCTCTGTCTGTCTGTTGTGTGTCTGCCTGAAACCTAAGATCTTCACAGCCTGGGAGCTCACAGTTTTCTCAACAGGAGGTCGGGTCAGAACTCAGCAGGTGAATGATGGTGTGTGTGCGTCACCGTATAGGGGGGGGGGCGAGGAGGGTGGTAGGGGCGCCTGGGTTGTGTGTATGTGTGTGGCGAACTGGTTAAGGCCGGTAATGCGAGTGCCTGCCATATAAAGCCTTTGGATTGGTCTATTATTATTCTCGGGACACATCCCTTTCCCTTTTTCCCTGTCGGGTCTCTCCGCTGGGCTTCCTCCGCCTCCACGCCCTCGCTCGCTTCGTGGTTCTCTCCATCTTCGGGTTATTGCAGCCGTAATGACCCACCTTGCTCTGAGCTCAGTGCCTAGCAACACAAACGCATGGACGTCCACGGGCAGGCGAGGAAATACGTGCGGACGCACCCCATCCCCCCCTCCCCCCCCCGCTGGTTCGGCGCCCCCGTCACGCCGGACTGAGCGGGAGCAAAGCGCTAATGCCGGACATCGATTACGCTCCCCCGTCCGCTTTCTTCCTCCCTCCATTAACCCAACATCGCTCAGTCTCCATCTCCATTATGATCCCCCCCCCCCCGCTTTCACCGGTTCTCGTCACCTCTCCTCCTACGCCACCTCCTCTAGCTCTCCCTACATTTTCCACCTCTCGCTCCCTCCTGTGTTTCTCTCAAGTTCTCTTACCCCACCTTGGTCGCTCTTCATTATTTCATTGGTGAATTTCGTCTATAGAGAGACGCTCAACAGGTGAAAAGTGACCACATGGTCCCCTGTTTGAGGCAGCTGTACTCGCTGCTCCATTTCTTGACTCGAGTTCACATAGTTGGTCGTATGTTTCTTTCTTTTTTTTTGTTTTTACATCATTTGGTAAAATGTCAGAACCAAGTGTGAATCAGTGCGTGTTTCCATCAACAGCCTGAAGGAATACATTAAAGGAGATCCGAGAACATTTGATCATTAATAGAGCACCAGTAACTCTGACGCATCGTGGCATTTCATTGCTGCTTCCCACATCATTTTTTCTTTTTTAATAAATTATTTTTCTCTATGTGTACTGCACATACTCCGGGTATCTGTGCTATTTTATGTTTTTTAAGGATGTAGTGAAACAGAACATGACAACACCTGCTTTACAAGGGAAGAACCAGAAAAAAGGTTTTAAAAATTTTGCTAAAATATTGTGGCTGTTTCACGCAGGTTGTTTGAATTAAGAAAATAACCATCGCCATGACCAATGAGAGGATTAAGGATGTCATGCTAAGCTATTATCTAATCTGTATCTATGTTGGTTTATTTCATACAATTATCTGGATTCAAACCTAAACTGAGTGGGCGGGTCTAGATTTAAAATTGTTGTACAATCATCCAATTACGGTTAAGTCACACACAATGTGACAAGTCATGAAGCTTTATTTTAGTGCTGGCGCTTGCTCTTTGAATGGTGCAGACGAGATACTCTAATGTATTGTCTGAATATAAAGATTATGAAAGCAGGTTTAGAGGAAATATTCAAACCAAATGACATATATTTTGTACGTGTGTCTTCTGGTTGATGAAGAGCTCGTGTCTGTGTGAGCACAAGGTGCAAATGTTGATGAGCTGGTACAGTAAAAGGGATAAATACACTCTTTTGGATATACGGCTTACGGGTGTAATACCTTAAAAAGATTTTTTTTTAATTATAATTTATAAAACTGCTTGTCTTTTGTTACAGTGTCATTATTTTGGAAAAAGGGAATTGCTTTGAGGTAACTCTGCAAAATGATTTTTTTTCAAAATTTGATTTTTTTTCTGGAAGGGTTAGGGTTCTAACTAGACTTATGATCCGTGATCATGAATGGACATGTTAGATCCTGTGGATGACGTCTTTTTGGCTTAATTCCCTGAGAGGCAGGTTCATATGACCCAATAGTGTATTAGTCTACATCCCTAGAGAAGATCACAGGGGACAAACAAAACGATTGTGAATAACCCGCAATATTCCAGTTAACAGCTGAGATGACTCACACGTGAATTAGAAATGTTGGCATAGATGTTGTGTCAGGAATAAAAACAATCATTTCAGATAAGTGAGCGCTAATACGTCCATTTGTGAGTATTAAAAATGTGTAAAATCCCTCCCTATGATTGTGATGTAAATCAGCCTTGTAGTGAGTGAGTCATTCTAGGACAAACGGTACTGTTGCTCACTTCACACGTGCAGTTCTCACGTGAGTGAGGTATGGACCAATTACTGGACGGTGTGCAAAGGCCTTGATTGACGTGTTGGGTATAGTATACGTATTTACCACCAAAAGCAATGATACAAATACAGAGAGGGAGACCTCATTTCTCCTCCCCTGGATGACTTTGAGGGAGAGAGTACAGATCCAGCCTCTCTCCATTTCCATCTCCTTGTTCTATTCCCTGCTCCTCTTTGCTTTTCAATTATTCTTGACTTTTTCCTCCTTGTGTGTCTCCCACTTCTCCCCGGCCTGCTCCATCACTCCCCTGTCTCTTCTTCTCTCCTCCCTCATCTTTCCGTAATCCTCATTTCTTCCATTCTCCCTCTTGACGGAACTAGAGAATCCAGGCCACCCAAACTAATGACAATATAACTCTCTGAAATGTCGCTGCCGGTCTAGCCAGCTCTCTTGCTGCCCTCTCCCCCGTCTCCCCTTCTCCTCCCTCTCTTTTTGCTTTCGTTCTCCCAAGGTAGCTATTAGCCGTCCATTGCCCGCCTGCAGCACTTAGCTTGGAGGGGCCGGGAGGAGAGCGATATATACAGCAGAGAAGAGAGAGAAAGATGTGGAATTAAATACAGAGATCCACACATGTCGCCGCTGCACATTCTCCATCTGTCGCCCCCCCCTGGCACCCTCCCTCCCTCCCTCCCTCCCTCCCATTTTCTCCACCAGTCTTTTCCCTTCATCCATTTTGTGGATAGATCCGCTGAGGATTATTGTCATTTGGTCTCCTGCTCACCTGGGTTTCTGCTGGTGGTGCGTCCTGCCGGCGGCTCCTTCTTCGGGGGCAGCCCGTATGGGCCTGTGGAGCAAAAATAAGGGTGAAATATGAGCAGGGTGGACGGGAAACCAAGATAACAACTGTCAAGGCTCTCGGATTTGGAACCAATATCATCAGCAAAGAGAGAGCAAGCCGGAGAGAGAAATTGAGACGGAAGAGCTGTAATGACAAGCTTTGCTCCCATTTATTGATCGGGCTTCTATGCGCCGTGTATCGACACGTTTCAATTTGTTTGAATGGGAAACTAAGGAGAGGCTGCTTGTTGTTTTGGCCAGAATTAATTTACACGAGGCCATAACGGCTTGTAATCTGTAGTCACTAAATCAGGCCATCTGTCTAGCAAGCCCTCAGTTATGGTGATGCCATTAAAGTGCCTTTATGTGACACATGCAAACACACACACACACACACAGATGCAGCTAGTGTACAAGTGCCACTCCTCAGTGCTGAAAGAGATGGTTCGGGAAAATAATCATTTTGTTCGCTTCCGAGCCATCTGGCCAACAGTGGGCTGCAAGAATAGGGATTTATATCGGGATGCATGACTACTCTGCTCTGCAGTTCATGCAACATTTTTAAAAGAAAGTTTGTTATCGGTCACTGTGGCAGCAGCGGGAGAGCAAAATGGATATGACCATGAGGGGTGCTTATGGATAAAACTGTACAGTAAAAATCCAACACTGCATTATGCCACATGGACGCAACTGCTGAATGTGTGTGTGTGTGTGTGTGTGTGTGTGTGTGTGTGTGTGTGTGTGTGCACAGCCGTCAACCTATAGATGCTGACATTTAGAGAAGAGTAAAGCTATCGGCTCGCGGCTCCCTCATGACAGTCGACCAAACAGAAGTTAGGGGCGGTGTGCAGCCTGGATCAATAGAAACTGCTGTGTGTTGGGCAGCGGAGGGAGGTTCAGGCTCTGTGTGTGTGTGTGTGTGTGTGTGTGAGACAGATACAAGCAATATAGATAAAGAATAAAATGAGGGAACGCAGGTCACTGTTTGTGTGTGGGGCAAGGGTACAAGTGTGTGTGTGTGTGTGTGTGTGTGTGTGTGTGTGTGTGATCCTCGGAGAGAAGAAAAGCTGCATATATCATCAGGGATCTCCATGAGGCAGCACGCCGCTTCTTTAGATGACAAACAACACAGACGTGACCTTTCAGCCACACAGCAGATAAAAGAGGAAGACAGAAAAAGAGTGGAAAATAACAGAGAGGAGAGATTTGGAGGGAGCGGTGGCCGACATGCAAAGAGAAAGGGAAGGGATGAGAAACGGGACATTTGAAAACCTAAGACACGTTTTATAAAAATTAAAAAGGAGTTTAAAAAAAAAGGCAAATGCAGAGAAAATGGAGAAAAGGGGATGAGAAAGGTGACAAACCAAAAGAAGGGTGTTTGAGCTTCAGGGAGTCGTGTAAAAGGGCCAGAGGGGTTTGAGTATGAGCGTGTGGGGTCATGGCAGCGTTTCCATCGCCCACATGGTGTAAAAAGCACTGGGAAAGAAAGTGTGTGGCCTTTCTGTTGAGCTGAGCTGACTGTGCTGATCTCATTGGCTGATAGAGTCACATCAGCGCCACTTGCAATGTGCACCTACAGCACACAAGGCCTTATAACAGGGGATAGCATTTGTGTGGTGGGGTGGGGGGGGTCATGTGAAGGACAGGTGCCTATTATGTGTAGGCATGCGCATGTCAGGGAAAATGCTTAAATGGGCCGTTTTTTGGTTGCTGCTTTTCTAAAAAAAGCCTGCATACGAGACCTGTAACGTTTTTTCCCCCCAGATTAGGAGTGTGTGCAGCTACGAGCCATTACAAATCACGACCGTGTGCTCCAGCGCCGAAAGTCTTTTTGTTATTGGGCGCTTGCTGGCAGGTCAGCCATGTGGGGAAATGTACGCTGTGTACGTGTGTGTGTGTGTGTCTGCGAGCCTGCCTGACACGTATGTGTGAGCTCAGCTTGATGCACATCCCTCACAAGGATAGGCAAGTTGCATGTGTGTGCGTGTGCGCGTTTGAGTGTGTGTGTGTGTGTGTGTGTGTCCAGCATGAGTCACTGGTGGTTAAAAGGGAAAGTGAGAAGGGAGTCAACAGGGCTCATTAGAGCGGACTGATCCCACACTCCTCGGCTGTTCTCGCCACTTAACGAGCCCTAATACGCTGAGAGAGAACGCAGGGACGAGTTGGTGTGTGTTAGAAGGGGGGAAGATAAGAGGTTTAGAGGTGGACGAGGCTGCGCGTCGGGCGTGCGTAGCGCTCGCCGTGGTGCAGAGGGGAGATGGTGTGAGATGCAGTGGGCCGGAGCCGGTGGCTGTAGTCCTACTTTGCCGGGAAGGTGGAGGTTTGGGGGGGGGGTGAAGTGGGGTTGAATGAGGGGCTTATCCACAGTTAGTGTAGACGGCGGTCATCCAGCCACCAGTTTACAGAGATGCACCGCTGTGAAAGGGGGCAGCAGGAAAACGTTTCTTTTCAAGTGGCTTATATCTAGAATATTTCGCTCCCCTTGACTTCAGAGAGCCCTTTCTACGGATGACGGGAGCTGTCCATGCACTTTCTTTAAAGCTGCCATATTACCTGGCACAGAATGGGGCGTATCTGGTTTAGCGTTGCCTCTGTCGGTTAGTTAGTTAGTGACATCGTGGGACTTCAGGGGAATCAGGACGAACCAATTTAAAGATCAAAGTCACACTAACACACACAAACTAACCTGTCGCGTCGTAGACCAGCGCCAACTCTGTTCTTAGGGGAACAATTTCTTTCTTCTTTTTTTTTTAAAATGTGGTTGCTTTGAAGCGGGCATCGCTAACGGCTTCACTTCCTCGTCTGAATATATATCCAAAATACAGTGTACATTTAAACTGACATTAATTTCCTTAGATGTCTAAAAAATGTCTGTTTTTGCTGCTTCCCCCGTCCACACCTGCACAAACTCCAGGTATCATCTGTGCTGTACGTATGATTCACAGACAAGCACCTCATGCAGCCCCACTTCAAAACACCCAAACTCACCCCTACGAGTGAGCGGCTGTGCGTGAAGCATGAATCAAAATGTGTGAGTTATGAGTGAGCGTGTGAAGAAGAGTGTGGAACTCCAGGAGTTTTGAATAGAGCGGGAGCTCACATGTGTTTGTGTGTGTGTAAGAGAGAGAGAAAGTAATGTAGGACAAGGGAGTCGACGAGACTTACTCTGCCCCACTTTCAGGACCACCTTCATGCCGTGCGTGGCGCACACTCCGCCTCTCATGCTATCCAGGCCTTGACGCGTCCCATCTGACGTAGCTGGAGGGATGGAAGACAGAATTACACAGTTAGCCAAGTAACAGGGTGGTACACACACACACACACAGTGAAAAACCACCCGTTAAAGCCACACAAATGCACTTTCTCCCAATCTATGGCCGACGCCAACAATAGCCTCTTTTCACACGGTCAGCCATTCGAGAGTCAGCGAGTGACATTTGCAGAGGCAGGGATTTAAAACTCTGAAATGTCAAACTACGTGGCGGCAGCACTTTAAGTCCTCATTTAGCAGCCCACAGGAATTCATTAACACCCCCGCCGCGATGCATGGTCTCCGCCGCTTTCAGTCCACTGCAATGGCCGCTGGGGCTGGGAAAATGGCAGGAGAGGGGGGTAATCAAGAGAGCCACAGACTGAGCGATGGAAAAGAGAGGGATGGTAATCCAATCAAGGCTGCATATAAAATAAAATGGGGCCCCTGAGACACAAAACACTGTACGTAGAAAGAAACTGGAAGAATGGAGTTAAAGCTCCAATGTTTAAAAGTGGCTCATGTTTTAATTAAGAGAATTAGCAAAGACTTTCGTTTCGACAACTGCGGGAGTGATGTGTTAATACAGGCAATGTTAAGCTATAAATGCTTCTCTTACATGGGAAAAGAATAATGCAACACTTCATTTTGAAAAAGCTACATACAACTACGGCGCCACATTTACATTCAGCCTCCCGACCTGCTCGGGAGGTCAACGAGGGCATGTGGGCATGAATCCCTGCACCACTCGAACGCTTCTTCTTACATAAAGCGAATGCATTAAAGATCACTGGTTTGCAGGTCACAGAGGCTGCAGGAGACACACAGGGGGAAGCCGAATGGGGGATCAAACAGTAAAAGTCGGGGGAAAGAGACATGAGAACCTTAATTGTCCGGAGAGAAGCAAAGGGAGTGCACGGGGGGGGGGGGTTGCTGTAGAGATGAGAATCAAAGCCTTTGACACATGTTTTCGCCCACCGGCCTTCATCACATGACAAAGAGCTCCTACGCCACAGTTGCTGGCATAAAAATATACAGTAAACATATTGTCCTTCCTTCCGCCAAACATCCGAGCACACCACCTGTCTCTCCCAATTTTCCCCTCCATAGCCCCCCGTGGCTAACCTTCATCTTGTCTCCTTAAAGAAATATAAAAAAAATCATTGCAGCCCCTCCACTTAGCTCCAGGCAATAGATTAGACCGTCTGAAGAGAGGCAGGGAGGGAGGGATGGCGGATGGCTCGGGAGGGAGAGAAGTGTGAAAAACAGGCAGCTTTTCTTTTAACACCTCCGTCGCTCTCTCTCGCTCCGTCTCTGCAGGATGCTGAGTGTGAAAGCAGGAGGAGGAGAGAAGCAGGCGGGGGTCAAGGCGAGCAGCAGTACGGTGGGGAAGCCAGCAGCAGGGATGGATGAGGGGACGCTTAGAGAAGTGCTGCAAAAAAAAGTTTGCAATCCCTTTCAAGTTCTCCTACTATTTGTTGTGGTACGCATTTTAAATGATAGTATTCCTTTGTGTGTGAGACCTGTGTCATATATCCTGCTGCACTTATGTAGGATCTATTTAAATAAAGTTCAAGTGATTGGAAATGAAGTTTGTGCTTAATGATGTAGGCTCCTGCTGCAGTTTCTTCAGCGCTCAGTCATGTCATTTTGTGCTTTTTAATGATTTCATTTTATAAAAATAAAAAAGTATGTTGCACTTACAACTTTAAAGTCACATTCATAAAATGTTCTCTTTAAGCACAGATGGATTCATAGCGTAACATAATAAACTAAAGGCTCTTTGAATTTGGTAGGATTCAGTTACAGTTGAATTGTACATGGTAACCATTATAACAGGCTGTATAATACAATTAAAATGTGTTCTGTATTCATG